TGTTGTTATTGCTGAAGCCATTTCCCTGTCCCCCCCAAACAGATTTGTTGTGCGAATAACACTGAGACCAGAGAAGCTGAATCATCTGCACTTACCACTAAGTGGATGACATTAACTCCAGGACTGATTATTAGATCTCAGGCAACCTTAACCAGTTCACATCAGGCTGAGGCAGTTGGCTTGAGATAGATTCTGGCTTACCTGCAGCTCCCTCCTGTGGCCACAGCGGTGAACTGTAAAATCCCCACAGCATACCACAGCTCTTAATCAATCATTGCAGGCTGTTAAAAATACATAATAAATAAGAGACAAACACCACTCAAAAGTATTGTTTTTACTCTATAATTTTAAAAATCTTACACGTGGCACTCTGCAAAATCAATTTACAGCAGAATAAACAGCATAACACAAGGCAAATATCAGGTAACATTGCAGAAGGCGGTCAATATAAGACTCAAAACCAGTGGTTTGTAAAGTGATGGCATACATAAGGCTTTGTGATAAACATAACCTGCCCTTAATACAGTAAAATACTTATGGTATGCCTACAGAAGTAAGATTTCTTCTTATTTGTATCCCTCCAGCAACATTATTCAATGATTTATATGATATAAATGTCAGTGTGTCAGTCTGTTTGGCTTCCTGGGATGAAATATGAGTTGAGCTGTTCAGCTTTATTCAAACCAAACAATAAAATGAAAATTTGGATGATGATGCATTATGATCAATGCTATCAGACCATCAAAGATTGTCAACAGTTGCAAACAAGAATATTGTTTCCGTATTTGTGAAATGTTCAAAAACTGCAAATCATTCTTGCCATCTCTAAATGCTCAGGTTTCAGGTGATGGATGGTCCCTCTGAGCTATGATTTATTGTTCACGTTATATCAGGCCAGTTGTGGTTGACTTAATGAGCCCATATTAGATATTTAGAGAAAAGCATGTCATTGCAGACATATGAGATGTGGGAGATTCGTATAGTTTTACTGTCAGTAAATGTTCTTGTGAGATAAATCAAAGGGGTAAGCAGGAAATGTATTCATATACAGTTTTGTCAGCCATCAAATGACTAGACACTTTCTTTCCACGGTGATTAATGTATTTATTAGATATAAGAAAAGATGAGAAGCAGCCATCTAAGAGGACACATACGTTTTTGAGGTGTATATGTGTTCATGCAGCATCAAAAAGGACTTGTGATGTTAATTTTGTATGCCATTGATTTAAGGCACTTACATTTCTTCTGATTTTATGCTCTGACTTTTGGAAATGAGAAGTGAGGAGCTGGGTAACAGACCATGGTGCTAAGTTGTGAGTTTCATAAAATGTAATCCCCTTTTTTTTCTTTCGTCCGTCTCCAGGAGACATATTAAAATATAATTTAATAATAATATTCCATAAGATGATATTAAGTCAAGGTAGTCTTAAGATGATGTGAATGTGGTAAATCTTGCCTCCAAAGAAGTGGATGGTTAATTCATATGGATGAACTTAACATTGTTTAAACCTGTTTAAAAACCTTGAGAATATCACTTAGCACAATGTAACGGGGTGTCAAGTGATATCAAACAAATCGTCACTCAAGTTTACAAGTTGACACAAGTCTCCAATTTTCTAAAGAAGGAAGTCAAGTACTTTACAAAGTAATCAAGCACAAAAAAATCACTATACAAAAACAATAACCGGTACTGTCATCTCACCACCGCTTATTATAATTTATCAATAACAGCACCAAAGACATTGAAACCATGTTCACAGTTATGTCAGAACTATACAGGAGCAAACAGAGGACGAGGCATTTGGGTGATTTAAAAACAAAATGAAGAAGTACGTAGGTCGAGAAGCATTCATATGCGTGATTAAAAGCATTTTAAAGAACAAAAAAACGAGTGTGACTTCATCTACCGAAGCTTAAAATTAGCTATAACTGCTGATTTTCTCAGTTAATGGTCTTAAGTGCATAATGACACATTGCTTCATGGAAATACTAGCTGACATTTCATGTGTGTCGGTGTGTGATTCATTAAATTTTAAGCAGGGCACTTAAAGAGTCACGTCTCTTTCCACTGAATGCACAGTGTTTGTGCTTTTCAAGGTAGGTTAATCTTACATAAAGTGTATTAAGTATTTGATTTTAGCCTGGTTGTGTTCATGTGTGAGAATGTATCTTGTAAATTCATATACTATGTACCGTGCATGCTGTATGCCCTGTGAATGTTAAAGAAGAAAATCAGTGACATTCAGGTTAGTCTTGAGCACTTGATACCAGTTTTACTACAAACTGTAGTGTGTAGATCTCTGGAAAGTATCGGAGATTGCAGCAAGTGGCTGCGTGTCAAAACCCAGGGAGCATCTGCAGTAACATCTTTTACCCTCCACCAAATATTTCACCAAATATTGCGAAGAAACAAACAGAAAAAAAAATCAATCATCAGCCTGCCCTCTTTTTGAGCAGTCCATCATCACATTTTCACACTCTTATTTATCCTAGAACCAAAACGTAGACAGACTGTCAAACATTCATCCACCCACTAAACATCTTTCCCTGTTACATGGGAAAACCTGGCTCCATTATCAGCCTCTGTTGTATTTTGTGTGTATATGTGTGTATCCCTGCACTTTCTTTGCCTTTTCCTTTAGAGCCGAGTTTAAGACAACACTGAAGAAGTGCTACAGCAGTCCCATTATAAATGCTTGATCCAGAGCCACAGTGAAATAAAGGCATATCGGTGACCCAGAGGGTTTGCCATCCATCTGTTTATCTTCTTTTCCATATGCACTCTTAAAAGCAGTTTTTTTTTACAACACAGCTGTGTCCTCATGAAGGCCTCCAAGCCAACAAAAGAAGAGTTCCTTTTGGTTTTTAAGGGGAGCGGACTTCAAAAATCAACGTCCCAGCCGGAGTTATCATCGGGAGGCGGGTCCTCATTGTCCTCTGGGAAGCTGTCGAAGTTACTTGTGTCAACTGCTGATGTGACCTGGTGGAAAAACAGAAGAATCATTAATAAAAAGAGTAAACAATCATATAGAGAATGGATTTTGAGTATGAAAGAAAAAGAAATGCTAACGAAAAAGACAATCAGCAGTGTGCACTTACATTGGGAATAATAGGAGGCGTCAGTGTCCCCTTCTTCAAGCCCTCCCAGTTAAAGCCCTCAAACCATCTAAAGGAAAAACAGCATCACTTGGTCATTTTATAATTAAGTTTTATTGCACAATTATACTGTGAAGACAAATGAATAAATGAGAGGATTGTATTTGTTTATAGACGTGCTTACTTGTGCTTTTGGATATCTTTGACACCGTTTTTCAAGTTTCCCAGTCGTTCAGAAGGATTATCCCTGCAGTAGACCAAAAAAAAAACATATGACGAATCAGCATACAGACTTCAATGAGTTTAAAGAGCTAAAGTGCCAACACTTACCTGCATAGCTTTTTGATTAGGTTGGCAGCATTTTTGGTGATTTTCTTTGGAAATTCAATCATGTCGATGCCTCTCAGGATGATGTTGTAGGTTTTCATAGGATCAGGTCCAGAGAATGGAGGGCTGCATAACAGAGGCAAAGATCAGTCTTGTGTGACAAATGCGTTTGTATGGAATTTACCAAGTGATATTTCACTGTGTGCTAGTACACTGAATTGTCAACTTTTAAATGTGTCACTTTTTTTTTTTAAAGCAGTTGTTGTTGTTGTTGTTGCATATGGTACCATGTTTGCAATCACAGGGAACACTTCAGCTACTAGTTTTATGGACATGCCCAGGCCAGTACCTGCCAGTTAAGAGCTCAAACATGAGGATTCCTAGAGACCAGTAGTCAGCTGAGATGTCATGGCCCTTGTTCAGAATGATCTCTGGTGCTACATACTCCGGCGTCCCACAGAAGGTCCACGTCTTCTTCCCAAACCCGATCTTTTTGGCAAAGCCAAAGTCAACCTGAGGAAAAGAGAATATTTTGTTCTGTCAGTCGGACAAAGCTGAAGAAGAATTTGAATTTATTGTATATATAATTTGGTCCATATTTGTATTAGATTATATTCATTCTCATGTATAATAATCGTAAAGCTGGGAAGTGTGTAATTATTTCAGTATTACAGTTTTTCACTTGATGCTTTGGCATGATGGATAGAAAGAGTTGAGCAGCTGGTTGCTGCTCTGCCAAAAGCTACAAACTGGTTTCTCCATGAGGAGAGAAGAGAATGGCGGCGCCCCAAAAAACACAGAACCCGACATAACCTCAATTATACTTTTCTTCATACTATAATTATACTTTTATGAACAGCCAACATGATGCATGTGTTCAAATTTCTTTTGATCCCTCAGTGTAGCATCAAAGAAGGATGAGCTTTATTCAGTTTATGCTGATCTTTGTTATGCAGCATTTCTGACTTCCAAAAAACACACAGAAAATGTGATTCAGAGGTGGTAATCCCCTATTGATGTCTTACCAGTTTGGCATAGCCCCTGTGGTCCAATATAAGGTTCTCTGGTTTGAGGTCTCTGTAGATGATTCCTTTGGAATGCAGGTAGGCAAATGCCTCAACCACGCAAGCTGTGTAAAACCTGGTGGTTGAGTCTTCAAATGAACCCCTGCAAACACAGCATGACAATAGAGCTGAACTGTGAACTGTGTGATATCTAACTGCAGTCGTCTAGCAAAAACATAGTTTGTTAAACCAACCAAAGAGGCTCTTCAAATCACCATATGATATAGCATATTTAAAGCACACATGCTATATATATAT